TTTCTAACATTGTTGTTTTGTTTTTGTTCTTGTTGACTTAGACTTCTGTAAATTTAATATATTTTTTTAATTTTTGATTAAATGAGTATATTAAATTTTTATCTTATTGGTAGAATTATATAGGTTATATAATCAGATAAATTAATATTTTAGAATCTAGACATTTCTTTTTAAGATTTACTATAATTAAGGTATCAAATTATGATGTGGATTACAAAAATAATAACAAAACATTATAATTTCATAATGATGAAAAAAAAATTTAAAAAGTCCAATAATTCAGATATTATGGATAAAATTAGTTGATCGTTTTTCAAAATTGATTTAGATATTAGGAAGCTTGTTATTGTTTTCAAGTATATAGATTGCATTTCAGAGTATATAGAGGCATACATATAGTGTGAAACAAAAAATGACCTATGCTTATGGCACATAACATTTTATTTTGTTTAGATCTATTTTAATGGGAACTTTTTCAACTACCATTTTATTTTAAATGGAACAGCCAGCATATTATTACAATATTCAGTTGAGAATGCATGCCTCTTCAAAATACTATTAAGATTGCCTACCCCTCAGACAAAGATTTTCCTAGATATTTTCATTTATATGATTTAGTGTCAGTAGATCTTTGTTATTTGATAATATCTAGATGGCTGTGATATACCTAACGTTAATAACAAAAATGAAATAATGTAGAGTAAATTATTAGACTGTAATAAGGAGGTACACGTTTAAAATATATTTGAACTATTACAGAATTAGAACTCGATATGAAAACGTATAATATGATAAAAATTACTCAAAATGCTTCCCCTCATGTTCACGGCATAAAATGATTCTATTTTTAAAAGGTCATTTCACATATTTGTAAACGCTGTCTTTAAAATATATTTTCGTAAAATAAGTTGAGACTAGACAAATCAGTAACATTTAAGGTATTTTATTAATTGATGGATGCACACTACATTCCACCATTAATAGAATCACATCAATTTTCTCTGCTGTAGGTTAAGTTTCCATTTTCGGCATATTTCTGAGATTTTTTTACGTTTTCAGCTGACAAAATGATAACTAGTTGTTACAGTTGAATTAAGTTGACAGCAGTGTTGAAGTAACGTGAGACCTATCACAGCCGCCTAGATTTTATCAACAAATAAAGATCTACTTACACTAAATCATAAAAATGAAAAACCTTTGTCCGAGAGGTGGGAAAACTTAATAGTATTTTGAAGAAATATGAATTCTCCACTGGATATCGGAATAATATGCTGGGTGTGCCGTTTAAAAAAAAGTAACTTGCTTTTCAAAGTGACCAATGTACAATATTAATTTTGTGTCATCCTGTAGAACTTTTCGAGTCAAGTTTTAATTTGATTTAAAATACAATGGTTATTTTAACTAAATATTAGGTTATACCTGGTAAATTTCAATTTAGATAGTTCATATTGAAATTTATAATTTGTTATTTTTAGAAAATGTTAAATATGTCAAAAAAGCCATGTAAATAAGCCATACCTAGGCCTATACGTGGTAGGCCTACTGCACACTTTAATACACATATGATGTAATATGCATACAGCCAGTAGTATGTCATCATAGTGTCATGTCAATCTACAAAAATTCTAGGACACGTATTAGTGCTCTAGGTACCGCAAAACCGAAAAAAAAACGGCGTCCAGTTGGCTGGGAAATGACGATCGATCACATTTCCCATATAAATTTACATATAAAATGACAGCGATCTTCATTTCATAGCTATCGCTGACGCCGTTTTTTTTTCGATCATACGATATTTATTATTGAATATTAAAACAGATACATGAAGTAAAATGAATTGACAGTTTTCTACTTCAAGTCATTTTATATCAATAGAATTGAAAGCTTTTAATTCCTATTGAAAGAAAATAATTTGGTCTTTTCTGTTTCTAGTTATTTATGTCAAAACCGCATAGTCGTTTATATTCTTTGTTATGTATGTCTTTATAAATTTTGAAGAATATGCATGCATATAACCGAATAAACTTGCATTTAATAATTACAAATGATGTACTTATAATATTAAATCATTTAATTAATATTTTTTACTGAAATTATATAAAATTATCAATTTCTTTACTGTTAAGAGATGTCTTAGATTCTATTATGTTTCTATGTTTTAGAATCTGTATTGTTGAATAAAAAACTATCGAGGTATTTGTGAGGTATCACGTCTCAACCCGTTTAAAACCAGGCTAGGCTTACCTTGCTAAAACATACCTATACTACGGAAAGTATCCCTTTATTAATGTAAATGCCTTGTTGATAGCAATAAGTATTAACTAACGAATTTATATAATCCATAGATCATAACGAAACTTATATGCAGAATTATCTTTTTTAGTTTTAATTTTATTTTCCTTTTTTTGATGGTCTTTTGATTATTATTTTTGTTTCTAATTTTGTATCCTTTCTTTTTAACGCAGCTCTGTAAACGTTTCAGTTGACTCTTGACTAGATAGTGACAGATATGTTTTAGGTTAGGATTAAAATTTGTTGGTTTTTTGATGTTGATGATATATATACATATACGTATTGATTTATACCATTTATATATACTATATACAGCCAGAAATGAAATAATTGAAATGATACTTTGATTTTTTGATTTATTATTATGATTTCGACAAAAGAAAGCCCCCTAGAAGTCTAGAATACGCGAATTGATTCAAATTTTCAAAAAAATTGGGTGTAGACTAGGTTATGTTAGTGTGAGGGAGGCTTAACGCCAGTAGATGGATATGAATAGGCGACATCATTAATAATACTTAATTTTTAACATTATTAATTATTTTCTTACTAAATATTAAAACAATAAACTCTAAATTTGGATATTTGGTCGAAATTTTATTTTTTATTTGATTTGGCAATGCCGCCAAAATCATGCTTAACAGTATAACGTAGTCTAACCCTGAAGAACTTCGCACACCAATAAAAATTCGATACAAGTTCATAGAATCTGATCAGAGAAACAGTACATGAGTAATAACACAAGAGAACTTTAGAATGATAATAAGTAATAAATTAACAAGTATTTATTATTGGCAGAATTGGAATTCTAACACAATTCACAAAAACAAATTATTTTAAGGGATGGACGGTGGTTTTGCTAACCATGTTAGCATCATCAGCAGATGATTAAAACTTTTGATTTCAATCATCCCCTGATGATGCTATTTTGAATAGCAAAATGTGCATCCATAGTTTAAAAGATCATGTATTGATGAATTGTATAATAAAATTGTGTATTTTCTGTTATTTTTGTTCTAAAAATATTACATAAAAAAGCAACTTATTTTTTGAATTGGCTGATGAAATTCTAAATACAGATTAAATTTTACTGAATGTAACAGGGAATACAAATAATTATTGTTAGTCAGTTTAAAGTGATTTAAAGTTGTTGAACTTGATATAGATAAAATGAAATAAATCTAAAAGCCAATGGATGATTATGATTTTTTTGTTGAAGACTTTTTGATGAAATTTGTAATTTTGAAAATCATTTTATTAAATGTGTTATATCCAATCAAGATTGTGAAATGTATCGTTCATCTTCTAAAATTCAATTTATCCCAATAAACATCAAATTTCCTTCTACAGCCAAGGAACAACTTTTTAATTATCTCCTAATAAAACTATATTAACAATCTGTTTCTTATCTTTTTACTACCTGCCACTTAACTCCTTAATGTTCTCTGAAGGAGGTATACTGAGGATGATGATTGACATTTAACATGTAACGATATTACTGATATTAGTAATATTCTCCTATAATTTTTTAAAACTATTTTATAGAAACACTTTTGTTTGGGCCTTATTAAAGTTATAGTTAACGAAAATTTCATACAGTTTTGACAAACACATCAAAATATTTTATTGATATTCTATAGATACATGTTTCAATAACCATGTTAGGCATCATCAATAAATGATTAAAGTTGAAAAAACAGTTCTAATCATTTTCTGATGATGATAACATGGTTAGCAAACTTATGTTTATGTTATAATAAAATAATGTGGTAGATTTGCATCCTTATGTTACGCAGGTTTAGGACCAGGAAATAAATAACTTTTTATTTAAAAAATTGTCGACCTTTCGACGTGTATTTTCTTCTTTATCGAGGCTATTTTTAGCTAAAAGATTCTTTTGTCAAAAGTAATTAAGTAGCTTCTCCTGATGGTATGGATACAATCAACAATTATGTGTAGTGTTGTTGATTGTACCCATACTATCACGAGAAGCTACTTATTTACTTTTTTAGCAAAATAACCTTTTAGCTGAGAATAGCCTTGATATAGACGAATTAATATATTCTAATAAATTGGCGCCCCACGTTAGGCGCCAAAATTTAAAAAAAATATTAGAAAATTATTGAGGTTTGTGGTTTATTCAAGTCGTACCTTGTGCTGGTTATCTGGAAAAAAACACTAAAGATATTAAGATATAAGAAGATCGAGATGAGAAAGTTATTTTTGGCAAATTAGTTCCTTTATCATAGACAACACAATATAATAAAAATAATACTATAAGTACTGTAAGTTTACAAAATAAAACGCTTGTTCAACACAATACACGAAAACATTTTATTTTGTATTCTGGATGCATTTTTGCTAACCACGTTACTATCACCAGGAGATGATTAATATTAACAGTTTTAATCATTCTGCTTATTATACTAATAACATGGTTTACAAAACGTGCGTCTATAGTTCAAAGTGAAGTATCTTGCGGTGAACTAGTGTTTAAATTTGGTTAGACACTACGAACTCGTATCGGATTGGTGTGCGAATCTCTGAAACCGATAACGATAAAAAGATAAAGAGCCGAAATAGCGACGAGCAAGAGTGCTATGAGTATGAGGCTTCTAGACAGTGGCATGTCTAATGTCTAACGTCATCATGTCATTGCACGAGTTTGAAGAGCTGTTTATAATGCATGTCTTGTCTGTCTCTGCATGCAGGGGTTCGGTTTTGTAACATTCGCAAATAGTGCTGATGCGGAGCGCGCACGAGACCGACTACACGGCACCGTGGTTGAGGGAAGAAAAATAGAGGTGTGCATGACTATAGCTCTACGTGTAGCACTGGCCTGTCCCGTCCCTCCCCGGTAAAACAAGGTCAAAACCCCCGTGTGGCTGGCTTGCTGGCTTTAGTGACTAACCGGTAGCACCTCCCCGCTTCACACGTGTTGTTTTGACGTTCTTTTGCCGCACACACTATCAGTTTACTTATTCGAGTACCTACCAAAAAAAACATAAAGAAATCTGTAATGGTCCTCACAGATACGTGTTCTTTTCTGCCAGTTTTATTAGTAAGGGTGAAACTGTTAGGAAGAGCAGTCCGTCTTTGAACGGGGTTTTCAAGTCTACCGGTGCGCTCGATTGTACGGTTAATGTCGCGTATTTTGTCAATGGGTATTCTGTTTCTGTTCTCTATATAATTACCGATTTAACGTCTGTTTGAAACTTCTTTATAGACTGTTGAAAATGCAGTGATGTATCGCACTAACCCAAAAAATGTTAACAAAGTTAACTTGTTTTTTACATAGTACATAATGAAAGTTTTAACCTTATGGAAATTTTCTTTATTATATCAAAGTTAACAGAATTTTTTAATTCTGTAAACTTTGATAATACATTTTTGGACAAGCGTGGTAGGTCATTGTATTTGGGTGGTCATAGGCGTTTTATAAATGAAATAAGAAATACTGGTCCATATTTAAAAAAAAATAAGTTGATGATGGTTTTGAAATTTAATGGCACTATATTATAAAGCGAGGGGTGTCTCTTTTCTTCACAGTCGCTCGCAGTCTTTGGCATCAGTCTTACAGCAGTCGACTATAATTATATAGCAGACATAGATAGTCTTCTTCGCAGTCATTGGCAGTCTGTAAAATGATATTTTGACAGTACATGTAGATTTTTAACCCAAGTGAGGCACGCCTCGTTATAAAGAGAAACAAGTGACGATGGTGAAGTGGCATATATATTCAAAGATCTCTTCAAATAAAGCCAAGAAAAATTAAAACGATTTTACAAAAACGTGTTTACAAGTATACGGTTATTTTTAAATTCCAGAACAGCATTTTATTGGTCAGAAAATTGAGCATCTTTGTCATATTTCAATGTCTTAATATTTTCAAGATACTTTGTGGGGAGGTCTCAGTTCCAAAGGTGAAATGTTGGGTACTCTTTGTACAAAACATGAGTCAGTCTTATTTGAATCGCATACACGAATCACTATTAAAAATGAAGATAAAGGGAATCAATTTTATCACATTTTTACTTATATAATTAGAAAAAAATTGTAGACATCTTTTTACTGCCTCTTTTGTAAGCAACTCATCTACTTCTTTTAATTTCAAAATCATCATTTGGTCCCATATTATATTTTAACTTTGTTAAGTTGTCTAAACGAATTAATTTTCAAAAATCTGATAATGTCAATACACTTTCGTTAACAGATATCTAATAAAAATAAGATTTCTCAGATCCAAGAGATCTCAGTTCCAAGGGTGAAATTTTGGCTACTCTTTGTACAAAACTTGAGTCAGTCTTATTTGAATGGCATACACGAATCACTAATAAAAATGAAGATAAAGGGAATCAATTTTATCACATTTTTACTTTATAAATTAGAAAAAAATTGTAGACATCTTTTTACTGCCTCTTTTGTAAGCAACTCATCTACTTCTTTTAATTTTAAAATCATCATTTGGTCCCATATTATATTTTAACTTTGTTAAGTTGTCTAAACGAATTAATTCTATAAATCTGATAATGCCAATACACTTTCATTAACAGATACCTAATAAAAATAAGATTTCTTATTATTCGAAGAAGAATACAATTACTGCAACAACAATAGTTTTTTATATTAAAAATTGGTTATATGTTAGAGAAACAATAGTAATTTACGACAATTGGTGTATTGCCAAACCAAACCAAACCAAACCAAACAGTCTATTTTGAACTTTGGATGCACGTTTTGCTATCCATGTTAACATCATCAGCAAATGATTGAAACTGAGCGTCAATCATTTGTTGATGATGCTGACATTAAAAATGCTAACCTACGAAAAGCATGCATCAAGAGTTTACTGTTTTTTGATGTGTTTTATTATAAATTAAATTAAATTTGTTTTATTAGACCCATTTAGATTTACAATTAGTGGGATTGACAATTTCACAATTACACATAGTGAAAAAATATACAAATTACAATTAGTGAAATGCTGTAACATCAAAGATTTCAACGTCAATTGTATCGGTATAGTACAGAAACAGTCAAAACTAAAAAAATTGTTTTTATTTTCAACACCAAAAGAAATATTTTTTTACCACAGTAAAAACGACGCGCGACGGTTTCCTATCCCCAGACTGACTCGTTTTCCACGTATAGCTTTACTCGTACTAACAAAACTCACAGGAAAAAACACGTGTCTGTTGAGGGCCATAAGTCACAATTCACTCTTGTATCGGTTCTCCAATGTCTGTACGTTGTCTCTAGACCGTGTCGGCCATTTAAATTGGCTTGCGCTGATGACGCGACAGTTGTAGTTCCGATCCCCCTCCCTCCCGCTCACGGGCCGCCGAGGAGGTAAGTGGATAAGGCCAGAGGGGCGCCGCCGCCGGCCCTAGGCCGGCCGTGGGCCGGTGACGGCGCCCCGCGCCACAATACCCACTCTCGTCCCCAATACGCCACGGGGTCTCGAGAATCGTCCCCACAGTCGTCAACACCCCAACACTTACTGAAAATCAAGTATTTTAAGACGATGTCATTGTATTTTTCTACTTTTTCTATAAGAATAATAATAACAACGTATTTAATATATTTTGTATTTCGAATTATTAAAAAAAAGAAGAAAGGTGTATCATATCTAAAGCAATTATGACAACTATATATGTACTCATAAAGGAAATAAGTTTAGATTGGAATGCTCGGCTTGTTGTCACAACTTATAATTGTTTTGGAGCGCATACGTTGCAGGGCGCTGCTGTAGCGGTTGCTAAGAACAACCTCAAACAAGAACAGAAATAATGTTCTTTTTTCAAAGCAGAATCTTCAAAAATTATAAAATCTTTTAAAATTTAAACGGCCCTCATTGAAAAAATACAGAAAAGTATTTAAAGCGTCCATTTGCAAAGTAGTTATTGCTATCTTGTGAGTTTAATTTAAATTTTATTTACTCAAACCCGTGATATTTGTGAAAAGTGGCATTACAAACTTAAAAAGAACTGCAAAAACCATCGTGGATCGTGACATAACGTCGGTTTCCAATGTTACATAGGTAGATATTTCGTACATGTCCTTATATAAAATAAAGTTTCTTATATGCAACACACTATATTTTATTTAAAAAAAAAAAAATTGAATAAATAATATTTGGCGACATAAAGCCGAACCGCTCCGAAATTATCAAAAGCTTTGGAGAACGACCGTTGTAAGAATAGCGCCAAATAGTATTTACATTGTCCTTATGAGCACTTTTTAATCTAAACTTGTTTCTTTTATCTATGTATATACTTCATTATATACTTCACTCATGTGTCAATCATAATAAAAAGTGTTAATTTATTATATTAAATTATAAATAACAGAACGATACAGTTCCATTTTCATGTTAATAAGTGAAATACGGATATGAAAATCTGTCTGTTTTACTCGTAACTTTACAATTAAATGTTATTTCAACTCTCAGTTCATTTTAAGCGTTAATATATCATTTTGACAGTGATTTAAGTAGATTTACCGAATCCATTATTGCACTCGAATGAAGAGAAGCATTAATTTATTATAAACTGTAACTGTTTCATAACGTTTTATCATTGATTGACATGCTGCTTGTAACAGAATATGCTGCGAAATGAATTTGTGCTAAAATATCGAGTTGTTTAATTATTATTTATGATTTTTATGAAACGATACATTTTTTTGTGTTTTCTTTAATAAATCAAAACCTTCCAATAGACACGTGTTATCCTCAATATCAGATCTATTTTCTGAAAGAATAAGTAAACTTCAACAACTTTTATATACCACTTTGTTAAAAACTTTTTTCTCAAGAACATTTTTTGTTAAGAAACTTCTGGATGTTTCGTTTATCATGAACTAAGTTTGTCAGCTTGTCAGTATCTCTTGATATTTTAATATAACAAAAAGTTAAAATTGTGTCTAAAAGTTTTTAATTTCTTAGTTATGAATTTTAATTTTAATTCATTTTCTTTACATTATTAATTTGTTCATTTCTTAAATTTAATTTTACCCTCGTAGTAGATCAAGTAGATGCAGAAACATGCCGAAATTAGTTAATTTTATGACAGTGAGAGTTTAATACTTATTTTTTACAAAGTATGTTTTTAATACTGTCAAGAACGATAAACATGATAAAGTTTAAAGTGTATTTCTATTTCTACGCTTACAGTGACATCATTTTCATTTAATTTTGTCAAAAATAATAATTATTAATTAAAAAGCATTCCCAATAAAGATAAAAAAAAATTAAAAAGTTTTTTGGAAGGAAATTTAAAAAAAAACATCTATAAATATTTTAATATATATTTCGGCAAGTTATAGTGAAAATAAATTGTGCTTCCTAGATTCTACGAAGCATCGATAAAATATATTTGTTGTTTTGGATCGATTTCAAAAACATTTGGAAAAAGTTTTAATACTTTGAAATATTGCTCAGTTAGTTTAGTGCTGTTCTTTTTAATACTTTTACTGCTTTGAGAGTCATTCAAGCGTTTTTAATGTTCTAAAATATTATTTTACAATATGTAATTACATTAGAGGATTTTTTAAACAAAGAAATATGGTTATTTTCGGATTTTTTCCTGGTTTTGTTAAAAATGTTGGGCCTGCTTGACGACTGATTGCTATTCCGAAACTCCGTGGTTTTTTAAGTTAGTTTTTTCAGTTTTAAGTAGTTTTTAAGAAAGGAAATGTTACAACAAACGGCATATATGTTGTTGAAATATTAGATTCCTGCTATATTATTTGAAATAAATTTGATATTCATTATTTTCTTTGTGTCTTTAAAAATGTATTATTTATTATTTGTGTGACAACAAAATCGTTGTACAAACCACGATTTGTTAACTTTATATCGAAAGAACTTCTACTAATTATGGTTTACCCAAATTTACATTTTCATTTTGTATTGTTTTGATGTATTTTTTTTTGTAATTTAAAAATTTTTATATTTTTTTGGTACTTCTAAGAATATCATACATTGGTTTACCCAAATTTACATTTTCATTTTGTATTGTTTTGATGTGTTTTCTTTGTAATTTAAAAATTAATTTTATATTTTTTTGGTACTTCTAAGAATATTATACATGACTATCTTAGTTAGCTTTAAAAATCCTAGTTTGTTAGCAAAATTAGTATTGTTACCAATTTTTATCGTTTTTCTATGGAATTAAAAATATTTAGCTTCTAGTATTTTAAGGATTCTAATGATTTATTTTTTTATTCATGCATTAGAGAGGGAAACAACGTCATGAGAGGCCTATTTTTGACAGCCTCGTTTGACGTTCCACTTGTCACATTTGAATTTTTGAGTCTTTGTTGGGTTGTTTTGAGGTTATTTTATGTTTTAATTTATTTTCTATAAAGTGTACAAATCTTGAAAGACATTGTGTCAGGATTAGTTTTCATGTTTTTTTTGTCTCTCTGTCTTGACACAATGCTTTTCCAAATTTGTATACATTGCTTAAGATGAACTGTAAAATAATCAAGAAACAAAATAAAATAATATCAATTCGCACAAATTAACATCAAATTTATGTCAGGTGAAACGTCAAACAAAACTGTCAAAAAATGGCGTATCATGACGTTGATTCCATTTCGTCGGCTCCTTGCTTGTTTTTTTTTTATTCAATGAAAAAAGGGTACAGGGTGTCATAAAATTTTGGGTTTCGTATTTTAGATTCACTTCTAAAAAAAACTGAATTGATAATAAATTATTTTTTTAATGAGATATCTATATGAACTTTGACGAACTGTATTATCTAAGTTAACAATTTATTCGATAAAAATCAATCGAATAGAGGTTTACACAACAATTTTGTTGTCACTCAATATATTATTACGACACTTCTCTCAGTGAAGTAAGACCCGTTTTATTTTGATACAAATTGATTCTGTAACAGTACTACCAGCTTCTTTATGCAATTCTCATTATCTATAATGTATATACAGTATCTGGTCCTTCTAAAGAGTCGAACCAATAAAATTTACCGGGTGGTTTTCCTTAAATTGGCCAACGAACGCTCGTAAAATACTAATTCCGATTGCTTTACCTTCTATATATGGAATGCCGTTTGTTGGAACGTTCCTTAGAGGCAGCATTCTAAAGATTTAATGTCTCCAATAAAATGTTAAGGGTGCCGTATCGATGTAATGGTATATGGCATCCGTCAGTCAAGTTGTTTTTTATATATTCTTGCATTTACAGAATGACAGAAACGATTTTTTTATTTTGAAAAATCGGTTTAATTGTGTTAAGAAAGAATATCCAATATTTTAAATATTATCTATATCTATGTGGCAATTTCATTTTTTGAAAAGGGTTTTCGCCATTAAAAGAAAATCTAAAAGACGAACAGAAAAACTACAGAAACTTTGAAGCTTTTTGGCTTTATTTCACTAAGTAATTTTTAGTTTTTAGTTTAAGGTTTGGCTTCATAATATAAGATATTTTAAATAGTTTTTCTTTGTTCTTTGTTTTTTTTTTTGCTTCTGATGATGGGATGAGATATATGTACCTCCTGAAACGTTAAGCTTTTTTTTCGGTTAGGCAAATTTGTTTTACTAGTAAAATATCATTGTCAAGTTTGTTTCCGTTGGATCAGCGCCTTGGTGTTTAGAAAAAATAACTTTTTTATGTTGTAGATTTTTTTTAGTGGTGAAAAACTCAATTTTTTTCATGATATGAAATTTTATTTTTATTATAATTTTACCATAGTTCTTAAATCAACGACAGCTGGTTAATTTTCAAATTTTTGGTCACATTTTTTGAGAACACTGTTATTATTTATCAAAGCTTTACAAGACTTAATGTAAATTAAGATCTTTTTTGAAATACTGTCAACATAAATTCATTGAAAATGTATTGTCACTGAAAACTATCGTTACAAATGAAATTTTTCTACATTAATTTGAAAATATTTCGAAAATCGATAAATTTAATTATAGAATTTACTGACATACATAAAATATGTCTTGAATTTAATGTATAATTTAAAAATGTTATAATATACAGGGTGTAAATGAATAAATGCTAAAAAATCTACGTTTAAACTTTTTATACTTAACAATATTCAGTTTGCTGATTTTAATTTATATTTTGCTATAATTTTCTTAACTAAAATTAATTTCTCTCTGCCAATATCTTTCGTTTTCATCTTATATTTTCGCCTCACTTTCTTCGTTATTCTGGGTCAATACATTTTCAATGTGATAAATCTACCATTTGACATAGTTTAGTAAACTACTAATGTCCATTTTTCTTTAGAATGCTGCTTGGATTAAAAAAAAACATTTCTTAATGCAGGAACATAAATTATGATTTTCTACTTGACAGATGTTGATTTAGTGTCTTAACAATAATTCTAAACAGATGATATATGCTACATATATATTAAGAAATGTTATTTTATTTTGAAAAAAAACTAGATTAAGATAATTTATTGTGAACTAAAATCAGACAAGTCGTGCAGTTCAATTTAAAAGTCATTTTTGTTTTGTATTTTGATCTTTCAGTGTGTGAAAAAAATATTGAAATGTTTCGTGAAAGCCAGTTGGCAGACATTCAAAATCTGTATCGCTTGGTATTTAAAAATTAATTTTGTTTAATTTCTCTCTAAACGAAAATAAATTAATTATAAATATATAAATAGTTATTATGTACATCAACAAAACTCACCTTCTTAACAGCACTTAAGGGACATAAAGGGCCATTACTACCGCTTTTCCGTTCAAAATATTTTAATAAAGTTGCGATGAGTTTTTTACGGCTATTAAGCTATCTTGTATACTTCACCCTAAAAGAGGTTCTAAGAAGAACAGTGTTCGACTGCAAGATCTGCTGGTAAAAAACTTTTAAGCTTAAAGTAGCATTACACAATTTTTTTAAACCAAAAACTCGTAATACAAAACTAAAGTGTCAAAACAAATGCCAGTGTCAGGAAATAAATAAATATGTAGCAACTTGGCATTTTTTACAGCAGAGTTACCACCTGAATCCCCAGCGGGAAATTTAAATTTCAGTTAGTCTACCCGGCGCCGAATATCTCCATGGTTGGTAACAATAAATTTAAAAATTGCGCCCTCTATTACGTAACTAAAAGTTTAATTGATATCGAATATATGCGGTTAGTCTCTCTTTTGTATATTTCTGTAAATGTACTTCTAATTTAAAATTAAAACTTCCATATAAAAATAAAAATTGTGGATGTTACGTCATAAGCATTATTATAATTACAATGCTTCCTTTAAAGAACCATCAATTCCTCATTTACGAAACATTATTTATGCAAATAGCTTGTCTGATTTCGAGGCCTATCCAACTAGACGTTCTGTATTAACCTTAGTGACAAGTGACAGGTCCTGTTGGCTTCTGTGAAGTGTAAACAGGCTTGTCGTCTAATGCAAGCACTTGTTTTGGCGCGAACGCCTTTCGAAAATCGCATAAAACGCGAGACACGCTTTCGAAACAAGTGGTTGTATTAGATTAGCGGCGTACCATTACTAATCGTTTGCGTTTTCCTGTCGTCTAGGTAAACAATGCAACAGCTAGAGTACAAACAAAGAAACCACCAGCACTTCCAACAGGTGAGTTGAATCGTTTCGTTCATTTTTATTATCTTTATTTTATTTTTGTATATTTGTCTTTGTATTTTTTATTTGTTTAATAAGTATTACTTTACATTAATACTGTTTAAGAATACGTTTATACAGGGTGAGTCTTAAATAAGTGCAAATATTTTAGGGGTAGTAAATTTCGACCCCAGAAACACGTTATTATGAGATTTTTTTTGCGAAATACATTTTTTGAAAATATGGAATTTTTTAAAAACTTTTTTAGATTTTTTTAAATTTTTACTTAAAAACATAATATTTTCATATTATAGTAACATAGGTAGTAGATTAAATTTGCAAGAAAGAAACCCCTGAAAAAATCCAGTGATCTCTCTCTTTTTTTAATTATCAAAGTAAAATATCTACCTTATTTTGAAATTATTTGAAAAACGGTAAAGAGAAAATATTCGAGAAATATCGAGATCTGCCAGTCCTGAAAATATTTGCACTTATTTAAGGCTCACTCTGTATAAGGTTATTCTGCAGGATGGTCCGAAATGTATTCGAGGAACTTCGGCAGCATATTCTGCAGATTAAAATATGTAAAAAAGTTCGTATAAATGTATGTCCTAAAATGCTTAGTTTCGGAAATACAGGGTGTAAAAGTTGTGTCATTTTTATTTCGATTTTTTTCCAAATAATTTCTAGTAACGTCAATATTTGGATGAAAATTGGTGTCTGGAAGTTTTTTTTTCACAATAAGGGGCCGTCCTCTGCCGGAAACACTGCGATCTGTGAGGCCTATTGTGTTTGTCCCCTTTCTATATCTGCACCCTATCCTATCTCTGTGCCCTGCACTAACTTATGCAGGTCCTTGATAGGATGGGAGCATAGTTCCTCCGGTTCTAGCATAGCTTTCCCAAATAAAAAGTGTTGCTTGCGATCCTGAGCCTCGCAGTGATATATTATGTGCTCCGCTGTTTCAGGATCTTTATCGCAGAGTCTGCCGCAAAGACTTCCTTGATACAGGTTGAGCTTGTTCATGTAACACTTGACAGCCATGTGTCCTGTCAAGAGGCCTGTTGTAATCCGCAATTTATTCCTGCTAAGCATTAGCAGTTCCTTTGCGGTTTTAGAGCTAGGTCCTTGGATAAAAGCCTTGCTGTGCCTGTGCCCCTGTCTGTTTCTCCAGTGGACATTCTGCTTGTCCCTGATCCAGAGTTTTAGTGCACTACGGGCCGTACATTTGGGTATTCCCAGTACTGGCTCTGAACCAAGATAGGATGCCGATGATCCTTGCCTAGCTAGCTCATCGGCTTTTTCGTTGCCTTGGATGCCGCTGTGGCCCGGCTCCCGGAATAATTTAATTCTGTTCCTTCGAGCCAGAGCTCCCAGTTCACTTAGGCATTCCCAGACGAGTCTCGACGATACCTTTGGGCTCATAAGCGCCCCAAGTGCCGCCTGACTGTCTGAGCATATATATTGATGAGCTTATCTGAATAAGCTCTTCTATTGTTTTCTCTTGCACATTGTGGAATGGCGAAGATTTCTGTCTGTTATACAGTTGAGTGTTTACCCAAGGAAAAGTATAAACTTACCCTTGGTTTTCCCTAAATACTCCAGCTCCTGTTCCTTCAGCGGTCTTTGACCCGTCTGTATACCAGGTTAGTGCATCCTGAAGGAATGTTATATCTGTCCACATTCCTCGATCCATTTTGTTCAGCTCGAATGGTTTGTGGTAGTGATAAAGAGGGGTCATTTGGTCCGATCTCATTTGGAGTAGAGGTCCCCCGATAGAATTTTCCATCTTTGAGTGTCCTGTTTCTGTCCTATTTCGCAGAGACAAGACACTTTGTTGTCGATAGAGTTCGATTCTTCGAATCAAAATCAAATTTCTGATGTCAAAAAACTACCAAACACCAATTTTCATCCAATTATTGACGTTACTTCTGAAATTATTTAGAAAAAATCGAAATAAAAATGAAATTTCTACAACCTGTATCTCCGAAACTAAGCATTTTAGGACATATATTTATACGAACTTTTTTACTTATTTTTACTCTAAAGATGTGCTGCCGATGTTTCTGGAATACAGTTCGGACCACCCTGTATATTGCAGAACAAAAAATAGCAATAACAACCTGAAATTTATTTTCTTCTATCTATTCAATTAAAGTCATAAAAATGAAATCGCGAATTTTCTTTTTTCCCACAAATCTTCGGAAGTTTTTAAACTTTTAAGTTGACGTTTTGATCAGCACCAAATTGGGCAACTTTGCTTCAATTTAACCAATCTCATGTCTGTTTTATGACCATTTCTATGTATATATTTAAATTTCAATTGATTTTTTCTTTAGTTCCGGTAATCCAATGGCCAGCAGACGCGGCGACGCTCCGTGCAGGTGTGGCAGCTATCCAGAGGGGGCGCGCGAGGGCAGCGTATCCTGCTGCAGCCGCAGCCGCTGCAGCTTTCGCCAGGCATCCGACACCCTTGGCAGGTAAGAAAACACCGCATCAGCGAAATTGCCAATGCCAAGTTTATGATCCCTTATCAAAATTTAATGTAGACTGCGTTTTATCTCATTGATTTTTTACGTAAATATGAGTTAGGAAATATGAAGGGGAAGGGAAAAACTGACTTATAGACAATATTGATTTAATGTTGCCAAATATCATGTTAAAAAGTTATTTATTACAGTATACATTATTACTTGGACATCGTTTTTTATATTCAATTACAATTTAACATGTTTTTGGCACTTGATATTCTCTACAGATTAAGTTGATTACATTAAAATTTGTATAAAATGGACTTCGTCGGTAGGAACAAGACAGAGTCGTTTACTATTAACTGATATTTGGAAAAACAAATTACAATAAACGTTAAAAAAGAAGAAAATCATGTACCGTAGTGTTATAACCAGCACTTATTTACATGTTACAATAGTTGATGACATGGAGGTTTTATTTTTAATATTTAAAAACTTTGTCTTTCAAATTAGTAATAAAAAGTATTGTAATAAGAATTCCACAAATGATATTCAAAAACACGTTATAGTAAAAATTAGAAGAAATAGAGAATCATATCCAATAATATTATAACATCTAGGGATTATAACATCTAGGGAAATTTATTTAATGAGGCATTTATTAATGATCAACCCTGCAATGAAAAGAGATTCATATTATGATACTGATATAAAGGGGATCAAAAGAAGTAATCACCTTAGTCTAATATTTTCTAGAAAAAAATCGTTACTCATTATAATAGAAAAAATACTTGATAGGAGAACTAATAAAAACATTGTACTTAATTACTTTCAACCTCTTATTCTGAGCTACAACTCGGAGGAGTACCATTAAGCTATCTAAAAAATCAATAAGTTTTGACTCTTTATCATTACCCAACCTACTTCTTAATTTTGAATGCCGTCTACACTTTGTAGTTTAAAACAAGTGGTTCAAAGAAATTTTAAACATAATACCAACTTTGGAGTTAAAATCATGTTTAAATCAATAAAAACTGTTTTAAACCATAAGTAGACATGTTTTGTTGAAAAATACTAACCCTGTTCTGTCAAATTTATTTTAAAATACAGGGTGGTCCGAACTGTATTCCGGAAGCTTCGGCAGCATATTCTGCAGATAGAATAAGTAAAAAAGTTCTTATAAATGTATGTCCTAAAATGCAGAAGTGTCTAGCCCCAACAGGCAACTATTAAGCTTAACCAATCAGGTTGGTTAGCGTGGTTATTTGGAGGGCGTTAATTTATTTGTGTTTGGTCAAAAACTCTAACGTGATTGGTCGGGCTTAATAGTTGCCTGCTGGTGCTAGAAACAAGTTAAAATGCTTAGTTTCTGATATACAGAGTGTAAAAGTTTCATTTTTATTTCGATTTTTTCCAAATAATTTCTCAAGTAACAAATATTTTGATAAAAATTGGTGTATGGGAGTTTTTTGACATGAAAAATTTGGGATTTTGATGTCAATATGACTCCTACTTGTAGAGGGCGCCACCTACATATTTTTTAACCGGTTTGAAGAGTAATAACTTTTGGTTCGAACCTGTATAAAACTGGCGCCCCCTACAAATATGAGTCATATTGACATCAAAATCAAATTTCTCATGTCAAAAAACTCCCAGACACCAACTTTCATCAAAATATTGACGTAACGATCAAATATTGGCACACCCTGTATCTCCGAAACTAAGTATTTTCGGACGTACATTTATACGAACTTTTTCACATGTTTTTATCTGCAGAATATGCTGTCGAAGTTTCCGGAATACAGTTCGGACCACCCTGTAGGTTATTTTTTATCATTTTTTGGTAATCGTCTTTCGAAGTCGGACCTTCTCCATTTTGACGGACTAGTAATTAACCTCACATTTTAAAATACCTACTAACATTTTTCTTTGTTTTAAAGGAGCTTTGCACGGTTACACACCTGTCCTGAATACTCTCCCAGTAGACGGCGGAGTTTACTACGATCCTTTCCTGGCGGCCCATGCTGCCGACCCCAACTACACGAGGCTGCAGGTAAGCTTGGAGGGGATTTCTGTTTAAACCAGTCGATCGGGCTGGCGCGTATTAAATTCACTACCGCCAGAGCCATCTGGCGTGAGCTAGAGCAACTAACTTAATGCCCGAGCACAGAAAAAGAAACCATGACTAAAGTATAATTATTTGTTGAGTTAGAGGATAATTAGTATGAAGGAAAAAAACGCAAACGATTACTCATTAGGCTGTTTGATCCACATTTGAGCTTAAAGACAGATTGAAGGAATTTTCGTTTGCCATAAAAAAAATTATATATTTCTTTGTTATCTTTTATTGAATTAATTGAATTATAATATAACATCGCTTAAGATTCGTCTTCTATTCGTTTGTTTAATGGGACTGTATCAAATATACTTGAAAACGCTTATTTGATACTACCAATTTTTTTTTAACAAATTAGATAATCTTAAAATAAAATAAAGTAATAAAACAATCTTAATTATTTTTTTTATTGTGTTTTGATGCTTTATTTTGTTCATTATTTGTTGTTTTTAATTTTTAATTCTCAAACTTTGTTCCACTTTATATATAGTTCATTGTTGTTTCCTAATATTAGTTTTTAAACACTAGAAATTCCTTACACCACTTTATTTTTTAATTTAACATTTCACATTGTTTTTTTAATTTTTTTTTCTTTATCTATTTATTTTTTACAGGTTAATTTAATAATTAAAAAAAGCAAAAACACAAGAAAATAAAATAAATACAAAACGCAATACATTATTATTAAAAATCGTAAAAATAAATATTATAAGGAAAATGCAATTTGATTTTGCTGTCTTGTTACATTTAGTGTCAATCTGGAGTACACACATGATGTTTCTTGCAATTTTATTTTATTAGACTTTAAATTTATTGTTAAACAGTGGCTCTATTATTAATAAGACTAAAATTGGCGTTTTTTTCCTTCAAATTATCCAATATATTTCTGTAAATATCTCTTTCCCCTTACTATCTTATGTCTTTCTTATATGTATACCTGTTTTTATGTATTATTGTACATAGTATTACACTTCTCATTGATGTTTTCAATATTTTTAATCTCTAATTACCTCCATTACTCAGTAGATGTCATCGTAACACTACATTCATAGTTATAGATGTCACTTCTCTTTCGATGTGTTACTATCCAAACCGCGTATGATCAAATAAATATAAAATAACGTCAAGGTAGACATATTTCTATGCCTACAGTGATGTCGGTTTTTATACAATCATACTGTATAATATAAAATAACTTATTTCAAGCTGTATTTATTTGTGTACGTTGTAATATACACATTTAAGTTTAAGCATGGAGATAGGAGTTGAGGATATTTACTTGTTTTTCTCCTAGTGTAAATATTTTTCTATTCCCACATTGCAAGATGTAATAGTTCACATAGTACCGTGGTATCATAAAATTATGTCACTGGTATTTATTATTATGCACTGTTGTGTTTTCTATAAAGAAACAAGTATTTACAAACCTTAATACTTTTATACGTTAAAGTATTTTTAAAGACTTTTAAAATTTTGGTTTTTATTTAGTACTTTAAACTATGATCTGTTACATCTTTTCCAGAAATTATACAAAATGAGTTTTAATAAATTTATGCTGTTAGTTCTAATTTCTTAGATTATTCATTAAAACTCATTTTATGTAGTTTTTAGTATTATTTATAGTACTAGGAAACACTATTTACACTTTTTTCTATATATACATGTCATATCATCTGATTTTTTGGTGTAAATAGGCAGAATATACTTCGATGCAAATTAACATTGCTAGAGTAATTTTAATAAAACTAAACTTAGTAGAAATCAGTAATTATAATAATAAATATACATATTTATTCTATATTGAATTTTAACACTGTCAGATATAGATTTTTACAGGAGTGAGTATTACCCTTTTTTAACAATAGCAGTTTTAAATTATTTGTATTGAAGTATCAGTTCCGAATCATCACATATCTGGTTTCTTGTTGATATAAACAAGCAGTTAGACATATTTATAAACAACGAGACATTATTTTTCAAATATCTAGAGATGAAAACCTTTTTGAAACATATTATTTCCCCCCTAAATATATTTTTCTTAAAATTTTGAATTTATATTTTATAAAAGAAAATGGAACTGTCAGATAACGTTATTTTCTATTCATGTTTCTTTAGGGGTTCATGTTTATTACCTTTTTCTTTTTTCTTTGTTTTTTAGTGCCTTTTTGTGTCCTTTCCATGATGCCTTATTGTGAATTAATGAAAAGAGGGAACGCTCGTACGTTTTGAGCCTATGCCGTTCCATATTTTCTTTTTACCTTTATACAAAATTGCTGTCTTGGAAATATATACATAATTTTTATATAAATAAGAAGGAATATGAATATGAAAAATATTGTTTCTAAAGCTTTTTTAATGAATCTGTACGTAAAAATACATTTTTGTATATTTATAAGGGTTTAATTATTGCATATTGATTAATTTTGTCATAAAAATGTTTAAAATACTTAAATTTTAAAAGTTTTTTAATAATTCTGTATTCAAAAACCACAATAATTGTATCTGATGCCGTCTTAGTTTTAATTCTACAATGCATCATCGAAAACACACTAAAAGGTATTAATTAACTCAAAAACTACACATCATCACAACATCCTATTTTTCGACCCCATAATCGCACAGCCTTGTTCTCATATTATAGGTGGCGTTATACGGTACTAGTAAATTGTACAAAAATTACTAAAAAACGATGTTATAAACAAATTTAATATATATTAAGTGACGTTGAAAATGCAAATGCTACACCTATGGCCTATGGAGAGTGCTTCAATGTTCACTATAGTTTGACAGCTTGTTGGCCTATCACTTAATTGAGATATTCTACATTAATGTTAATATGATGATGCACCTCTGATACACACTCAAAAGTATCGATGGATAGAGTGGTTAATCTCTTCTTGGGATGTATCCCAGGGGTGGGCTAATGTAACTAAATAATGATCGGTAGCGATGAAGAATACTATCGCTTGCCGTTTAGTTTTAACTTGTATGTATTATGGTACATAGTATCACACTTCTCATTGATGGTTTCAATATTTTTAATCTCTAATTACCTCCATTACTCAATAGATGTCATCGTAACACTACATTCAAAGTTATAGATGTCACTTCTTTTAGATGTGTTACTTTCCAAACCCTATGTGATCAAATAAATATAACATAACGTCAAGGTAGACATATTTCTATGCCTACAATGACGTCGGTTTTTATAAAATCATACTGTATAATATAAAATAAATTATTTCAAGCTGTATTTATTTGTGTACGTTGTAATATACACATTTAAGTTTAAGCATTGCGACAGGAGTTAACATAAATATGGGATATTTATTTGTTTTTCCGGAAGCCTAACAACATTATTGGAAATGATTGAATAAGCAGAAGATGTGATAAGTTAGTCTGGGTGATGCACTTTCAATGTCACTTATTAGTAGGTATATTATTTCTCTCTACTAAACTAGAATCATTATTATAATCCTCCGTAGTGAAAACTACTGAACTACTACTATATTTTACCGACGCAATGACAATTTACTAGCACCATATGACACCGCTCGATATCTGGTCGTCAAACGCTACACAACCTAGCGCTGCGATGCTTTCGATGTGTGCATGGCTGTGCATGGCCTGTCTTGTTTTAGGCCGCGGCCGCAGCAGCAGCAGCAGCCGCCTCCTCGCCTTTACTAAAAACGCCACTGTCCACTGCCCCGCAGGCCAGCTACGCAGCGGCGGCCACCTACACCGCAGTGGCGGCGCGGTACAACGCAGCGGCGGCGGCGGCGCAGCCAGTGGCCGGCTATGCGACGATGGCGGGCTACGGCCGGGACTACGCGGACCCCTACCTGGGACACGGGATAGGACCGATGGCCGGATACGGGGTAGGTATAGGAGCTGGGCCTCGAGAGAGACTAGCTTCATTGATTGTAATAGTTTTAAAGATGATTAGTGTTACTCTCTGTATTACACAACACCGTAAACAAATTTATAAAGTCTTGTACACCTCAGACAAATACCGTACAAACCGAATGTTCTCATGATATGCAAACCAAAGGTAAACAGAAAGTGCGAGGTTGCCACTATATTATTAATAAAAAAATATTAATGAAGATAGTATATATGTAATTATTATACAGGGTATATTCCTCACGTAAAATAAGATTTATTTTTCTTATCAACATAGGTCCGATTCTGCTTTGTTTCGTAGCTACAGGGTTTTAAAATATTAATATTTTTTCGATTTATTATAATTTTCTTGTGTAATAAAGTGCTTTTAGCGTTTTGAGTGAAATTTTGAGGGTAAAAGTTACTATAAATGCGACATATTTTAAAGCTAAAAAAGTCATATTCACCAGGGACGTGCATATTGGTTATCACTAGAATATTTTTCTAAAAAAAGCATGCACGCCACTGACTTTTTTTCTCTTGTTAGCGAAATAGTGTAAGCAGTTTAATGCCGATTAAAAGTTGTCTCTTATAAATATCAAAAAGAAAAAAGTCAGTGGCGCACGTGTTTTTATTCTTGATAAATTTCAGTGATAACCCTTCCAGCACGTCCCTGATGAATTTATCGACACTTTTTTAGCATTAAAATATGTAGCACTTATAGTAACTTTTACCCTCAAATTTTAATAAATTGAAAGATTATTAACACTTTAACACTCTGTAGCTACCACACAAAGAAGAATCGGACCTATGTTGATATGAAAAATGAATCTTATTTTTACATGAGGAATTTCCCCACGAGAGATGGCACATGTTTTTGAAACACCCTGTACCGGGTGGTCCGAATTGTATTCGGGAGACTTCGGTGGCATATTCTATAGATAAAAATGAGTAAAAAAGTTAAATGTCTATTTATGCCCTAAAAAGCTTTAGTCTGTAGTGTACACACTTGATCACGGATACTTTTGGATGATACTGGCGTTATTCACGAAAATAAAACACCAGCTCGCATGAGCGTACATTTTTTTTCCAAATTTTCTGAAGGTTTAAAGCAGAAAAGTTCATAATTGTTTCAGAAATACAGTATAACCTCTCTACCAACACAACTCAATGAGTGTTATTTTATTTTTTATATTTTTATTTCGTTTCTATAACATCAAACTTTTAAATGAATTTCAGAGTGAAAATTCGAATATTCCAAACAAAATTGACATGGACATACTGCTAAAACTAATTGACTCTTTTGACCCCAATTTATTTGAAGAATAGGTATCAAGTACCTCTATCTAATTTTTTGTTATTTTTTGTTGTTGATATATGTACCTATTTCCGCATTATAAGTTTACTAACCCCTATTTTTTTTGTAAATTTTCAGGCAGCTGTTTATCGTAGCGGTTACAATCGTTTTGCGCCCTACTGAACATATCCGCAGCTCCGTAAGGCCTACCGAACAGAAACCAACAAAAAATAACGTAAAAATACTCAACTTAAAAAATATTGTTCTTTGTTTTTTGTGTACGTAGCACAAAGAAGCACAAAAATGAGGAAGAAACCAGGAGCCAAAGAGCTGTAACTCACACTAATGTAAGCCCTTGTGATAGCTCATCTAACCCAGCTCTCTAACTTAGTTAGGTTATGTTTTAAGTATGTCGTTTCCATTCACTTATAAAAGCATCACTCGTTATATTATAATACTGAGTGTTTCAGTACCAAAGTTCCAATGGAATAACATATTTGAATACAAATTTAGAATGTTGAATGTCTTCGGGTAGCAAAAATATTTAAAAACCTTTTATTTTATACAACCATACAGTTTGTGAAATATTTTTTATCAATTTTATCAGTCTATACCTAGGAATTTTTCCCCGTCTTTTGAACCATTTGTACCTCTGGTAATAATATATCAATAAATGAAAAAATCAATTTTAATAATGAAAGATTTAGAAGCTTATTAATATACCATAAAATATACAGCGTGTTGTTGTATTAATACCACAAGTAAGGAACAAGTAAGGCGTTTTGTTTTTGTACCACCACAATTTATTTTTATGTATATTTGCTATCTTCACAGAAATTCAAGCTTAATGATGCATCGGTATTTCATTGGAACAGGATTATTGAGACACCCAATAGATTTAGGTAATTGTTTATTTACTGAGAATATCCTGAACAATCATCAAATATAAAAGACAGTTTATTTTACCGTGTTCAGTCATGTGTAAGGTGACAAAATATTTGTAAATACACAACACATACACATTTTATTCATTATGTTTGATTTTTTATTTTCCGTTATACATTTTCAGTTGATCAGTGTGTTATTTATTTCTTAATTTTCATTATTTTCTTATTTTATATTATTTTTTCTCTTGTTGATTTAATTTTTATTTATTATTTTTGCCAGATTAAAATATTGTTTCCATTTCTATTCAGGATATTAACATGTAAATTGTAATTTTCTTAAAATATCTTTTTATAATACGTAAAGTTGCATTGTAACAATTATGAAACTGGTATATTATGTGATATGTTTTTTTTTATTTTTACACACTACTGTATAAAAAGGATGTTAGATTAATTTACAATTTTATAGTTTGTTTTTGTAATTGGTCTCTCTAACGAAAATACTTATTGTGATAACCACAAAATCGATTTTTAGTGTATATAATTTGATTGTGTCAAATTTTCAACTCAGAAATTTACTAAGAAATGCAATTTTTATATTGTTACAGTGTTAACAATGAACACGCTCTCTGTAATCGATTATCTCTCTATGGTTTATCCTTTAATGTTGTAAATATTTATTTTTTGGTTATTTTTTCTTTTTATTTTGTAGTGGGTTTGTGTCTTCTCCCCATAATAGTTAAGTAATTTAGCTTGTAAGATAAATGATATCATTTTATGACTGCTAGAAATTACTTTATATATAAGTATGTAATTTTCAATTTTTTGTAGAGGTATACATATTGTTCTTTGACAGATTAATTTGTAAATGTGACAAAGCAGATAGAAATGTATAAATTAAATAGCAATAATCACAGGAAATATGTTTTAATGTGATTGATATTATTTTTATCACAGTATACTTCAATATAGTCAACTAACTCTTTTAGTGAAACAGAAACTTGGGATTCAAATTTCCGAATTTTTAGAAGCTTTTTCCTACTATGACAAAATTGGTATGATTGCGGAAAAATTGTTTTGAAAAATATTTTGAAGGTGACTGTTAGCTTCACCACAATAAAATTTTAACTGTTTTAAAGTAAAGTGGGCCATCCACGATGTTTGTTGTCGCTATGAGAGATAGTTGTATATTGATAGTATATCATATGGATCAACAATATTGAAATGCATTTTGATCTATAAGTGCAATGGAAACTGTAATTCCTTTGTTAAATTATATATTTTGATACTCTTGTGTTGATTCTTAGGCAACTACATTATGCCTGCATAACATATCGAGGATGTTCTCTCTTATAATTAGCTATTATATATCTGGATTAATTAATGTATATTTTATTTTACGAAGTTTCTTTAGTTAATCTCTAGGATGTATTTCCATATTTCAGTAATGTTAAGCTCTCTAATACAGGGCGACCCGGCATTTCGAAAAACCTCGATATCATGTTTTTGGTTTAATATTTTAGCTCTAATATTTTTAGAAAATATTCAGGCAATTTAAAAATATTTTTGTCAGTATAAAAGGTGATTCAAGAATATTAACTGGAATGTTATATTTTTTTAGATCAGTGAACTTGCCTTTAAATTCTCAGTTTTTAGTTAAAAACATAATACCTTGATAATATGGCAACATAGCTAAATTATATTTACAAGAAATAAAACCCAGAAATGATCCAGTACGTGGTTCTCAAAATTTAAGCAAAAAATATATATTTTTTTAATTTTTAAATTAAAATAACTCGGTTACTTTGGACTTATTTGAAAGACGCTAAAAAAGAGAAAATATATCGAGATCTACGAGTCCAAAAAATATTCGCACTTGTGTAAGACACCCTGTATAACATTACATTTAAAAATATGCGACGTATACTTGAATCACCCTGTTTATTTTAACCGTTACCCGCGTATTTTTAAAAACGATTGGACTGAAAATCTCAAATCAGAAATGTGATACCAGGCTTTTTTTGAACGCTGGGCCACCCTGTATAATTTCTCTTTATGATTGTAGGAGTTTGTTAGCTAGAAAATACTCAATAATGTGCCACGAATCTCTATACTTTTAAATCTAATTAGGAGTATGATTAAAAAAAAAGACAGTGAAAATACATCCTACCAAATTTAAAGCCAAGTTTTTTCTAGTCGCTGTAAATATCTATACACGTACAAATCATCCATGACTGGTTACTTCTTTTCGATTATTTTAACAATAATTTAATTGGACGTCGAACAATCGAATCGATTTTAAACACACACAAATAATGCGTAAGTTTTATGCATCAAACTGGAGAGAAATATCTTAGCACCTTGAATTTAAGTTATGTTGTAATTTTTTTGTCTTTTTTTCGGACATCCGATTAATGAAATGAATGATGATCGTGTATGTGAGAATAATAAAGTTATTAAGCAAATATCTATTGTCTTTTTATTTGATACCTTGTTGTGGTCAGTCCAACGATAGAATTCTGACAGTGATAGTTGTTATCTGTCATTTTAATTCAGAGGTGAATTGTTTTTTCTGTCAATTTTTGGATGTCGTCTGTCGAATTCTCCCGTTGGACAGACTGTTTACTCAGTAGGATATAGCATAGGACATTTTTTATTAAAGAAAGTTAATAAAAGAAAAAATTAAAATGGGTATAAAACCTATATCAAAACAAAGATATAAGTAGTTCTAAAGAATAATAAACACAAACAATATAATACAAAGCGGCATAGAATATTGTTTTAATATTCTACTTTGTTAAGTCCCGTCTTCACATAACGTTTTACAAAATAAAATAGCAACCTAAAATATATAATGGCAAACTAAAAATATAATCGCTATATAAAATACTTGTACACGTTAAGAAATATGATTCTGAAAAATATATTTCATTCTGTTCAAAATTAAATTTTTGATGACAAAAATGCTCAAGATTTGTTTGCCCTGAGCGAAATTTTTCAACACCTCAAACAGATTTTTCGCACTACAGAGAAATGCCGAATTTTGTTGACTCTAAGACTTTGACCTCGTTTTCAAAATTAAAACGCTAATAACTCCGTAATTAAAAGAGATATCGGGGCGCGCTTAGCGCCAATCGATAGGGAATTCAACCCTCTATCTGTACACAAAATTACAACCCCGTACGACACCCTTTATTTTTTGAGCCAAAAATTTTCAAAGGTTAACACCCCTTTGCTCATTTTTGCTCCAAAAAATAAAGTTTGTCCTAGAGGGTTGAAAATTTGTGTACAGATAGAGGGTTGAATTCCCTATCGATTGGTATAAAGGGCGCTTCGATATGTTAATTAGTTCTTACGTAATTAACGTTTTTCTAAACGAGTCTAACTGTTCGAGCTCGTTGGCCAACGATTTCAAAATTTAATTCAGGAGAAAAAAAATTAAAAATGCACATTTTTGGTGCTAGATATGGCCGTTTTGACTTGAGGTAAAAGAAATCAAATTAACAATAAATATCCTTTTAATATTTATTGAATTTATCTCTATGGATTTATATTTAAATTAGATTTTAATATTTTGATGTTTTGTTTTGGCAACCAGTAATACACCAATATTTAATGTTGGTTGTTTTAAATTTAAAGACTACCCAAAGGATTCAAAGGAAACTACATTAAAACCTGTGATTAAAACTTTAATAAAATTTATTAGGAAAATATTAGCCTTATAAATACTATTAACACAATTAATTACAAATTTATTGTTAGACATATACAGCGAAAATAGCAATCTTGTGTAGCATAATAAGTAAGTCCTTGGATTGCTCATTGATATTTCTATAGAATTTTCTTTCTGATGGATACAGGATGTTCATATTTCCAGGAACTTATTTCTGAAACAAATAAAACTATATTTATACAGGGTAATCCAGTGCTCCGAAAGAGCGCCTCATTTTAGTTTGATATTTTAACTCAAATATTTTTTACAATATATATCAAGCAAGGGTCTAATATGAAAAGCAGCAAACTCCACCATTCCTCTACTCCGACTCCTTAAATTTGCACTTGAAATTGATTCTGAACCAAAAGCTTAAAACACAGTATAAACTAAAAACTTCTTTGTAACAATTTCAAGTGCAAATTTAATTATGGGACCGTATATTATGTTGTGATAGTTAACAAAGAAAAGATGTTTTAATTTATTTATTGTTCTAAAGCAAAGTAAAGGACACCTCCATAAAAATACAGAATTCAATTTAAAAACTACAATTTTAAAGTAAAATATATTTAACTCACCTGGTCCTTCTGTTTCTAAAAATATTTTTAAAATGTATGCTGTTATTGTCTCCATGTTTTATAAAATAATGTGAGTGAAGACATCAATAGAAAACCTAAAATATGATAATTTAAAAAAAAAAGAAACACGTCAGTTAAAAAAAATGCAAAAAAATACATATAGGTTAAAATATTTTTCTATAAAATATTATGAAGTAACAATTTTATTATTATACTGAAATCTCATAACAAAATATATAGAGACTGTGGTAAAAGATCAAAAAGATATATGTTTTTTCTACCATATTAGGGGGGTATTTCATTTACGTCTTTTCACTTTTAACTTTATAGAAAATTGTTTACCTTATACACAGCATCTCTTCATAACAATAATACATTTCTAACAGTGTAGAACAACCATGAAGTTTTAAATTGAAGAAAAAAGCAGATTTGGAAGGTACAGCATCGAGACCATGGTTTTGAATGTTTGCCAGTATAATTTTCTGAAGAGGACTGCAGGACTAATTTGAATGCAATAATTAAAAGCGGAAACCATCTCAGGGATATGTTTTTTCAATAGGATTCGAAACTTGTTGCTCCAGATTTACTATTTTTTGGCACACACTTGGCTGAAAAGCAGAGTACAATCGGTGACGTTTTCTACCGGCGTGAAGATAGCCTGAAGTGTCTAGCCCATGATTATGGAGGCTAGAAGTTTTTATACAGAGGCTAGACTTTTTATACAGCAATGCCTTTGTTCCCGAATTTTGATTTTTAAAAAAGTTTTTTTTACCTAATAACATCAAAATGAAATGTAAACTGTGTGGCAAGTATTTTTTAATTTAATGTTCCAACAATTTTTCGTAAAATACAGGGACACATATTTATTTCTGAAGAGTTCTAAAAGGCATTGCTGGGTAAAAATGATTCACAAATAATTATTTAGTGATAATGTTATTTAGTAAGTCAGAATTATCTAAAACCTGATTTTTTTTTACTTATAAGTGTTGTTTTTTTGTTACCTAGAGTATGTCATTGTCGATAGCACACCTTATACATTTACGGAAAACAAGACATGGATATAATTACTCTTTTTACCCTAATAAACATTCTATATTTTAGTGCACGTTTGATTTGCACAAAAAGTAAAAATATGTGAAACGCAAAATCCAAACATGCATTAAAATATGGAAATAAAAGTGGCGACGGTGTAAGTAGCACTGAAATTATTTTAAATGGTTATACAATAAGCAATTATTAGTGGCCTGATTTTAAAAATAATTTAATGTCATGTTTTCCACAAACATTTACCATCGACCGTCAGCACCGTCAGCATATAAAACTTGTTTTATAAAAACCTATTTTATAAGAAGGTACACCGAAAAGTATTATGAGATATCTGTTTTTATTTGGTACATGAGAATTTATGACTGTTACGTTATGTTATTAAAATTTAACTTGTTTTTAGGCTTAGGCTTACATAAAAAAGTGAGATGTATATAGGGTGTCTAATTTTCTTGTAAGGTTTTTCGCTTACGAATATAGACACAAAGTTGTAGTTTAAACAATAGAATGTTACTTTTTTATGAAAAATTATATCATTGGAATAGGCATAACTCTTTTAATTTCTGAACTACAGGGTAATTTTAAAAATTTGACATGTTCAGGTACTTCTTGTAACTCAGCTATCTTATTAAAATGGTTAAAACGGGTTAATTCTATATTACAAGAAGTAGGTAGGTTTCCAAACATGTCATGTTTTCAAAATCACTCTGTAGCTTAAAAATTAAGAGAGCTATGCTTAATCCAATGATGGCATCTTTTTTTTCTAAAAATTTAGCAACTATTGTAAAAACCGCAATTCTATCTCTACTCGTGAGCGAGAAACCCTATAAAATTCATGAATGTGGGACACCCTGTACTTTCAAACCAAAAAGTCTCCAAACAGTATGTGACTACTTAGGGCCATATTTAGCCATATTTACATAGTCAGTTAAATTGTATAAAGACTTTTTGGTCTGGCTCTCTAATTAATTGTTAATGTTTGTAGGATAATACCTAGCTATAAATGTTTTTTGTTACTACTTGGGAAACTTAGTTTGTTTTAAGCATTTGTTTAAATAGACGTGTAAGCAAAAAGTCTTGGTAAGTGGCTTTGGTTTTAATTGTTTTGCAGATAATGACATTTTAAATTAAAACCTCGATAAGCCATATAAGCATAACAAAACTTTTTGGTATTCACCCCTTTTGATAATATAAAGTTTAAGATTTATACTGTTTATAAATTTTCCAATGTTTATGCTGTACATACTAAAAATAAACTTTTAACAGAGATATTTTTGCCTTACTTCAAGAATTTTATTTTACTCAAATGAAACAAAAAGAAAATTGTTCGGAGAATTGAAAAGTCTCAAATTTAAAAATATATTTATTCAGACTAAGTAAAAACTTTTGTTGCTTCAATTCGTTCGTATCTTAAACCAAACTTTTACTAATATTCATTTTGAGAAATAAGTTACTCAAATGGAGATTGAATATACTTTGATCAAGAAAACCGTTATATAACTTCAAATTCGAGGCATTTCAAACAGAGTAAATGCAATTTCAATTGTAGAATTAGTTTATTTTCGCTTTAAAAGATTTGATATCTTAAAACAACAATCGTTTGTGTCTTAGATATAGTAATAATAAATATTTAAATCTAAAATTTTTATTCTTGTTTTAAAAAATAAATCATTCATTAGGAGAATATTGTAGCATTAAATTTATCATTCTAAATACTTAGTATAAATATATATTTCTTTGCGTATATACAAAGTTAAGATTTATTCTATTTGAGTATTAAATGTTTGAAATAAGAATATTCTTTTTTGTGTGCACAAAAACTTGTCGGTTCTCTGTTTTTTTTAATATAAGCAAACTGCAATTGTAAGTTGATATTTTTAGTTTGATTTTGGTATTGCTTATGCATAGATCGATGCCTAGATGTATTTTGTGTGCTTGTGTCAAAAGCTCAAAATTAGTTCGAATTCTAAAGAAAATAGTTTAAAGCTTACTTTTTTGGTTTAAGTTTTAGTTTAAGTTTTATTTTATCATAAAAAATAGATTTTACCTTTACAAAATTTTACTAGTATGTAATTTAGTTTTTAAATTCTATATCTTATGCACTAAGATATACTAATTTAGTTTGGGGTAAGTTAATTTTATTTAGTTAAAAAATAAGGACGAGTTATCTTTAAAATGGGACGAAAAGCAAAATCTAATATATTGGACTTGGTTGGATATTTCAATTCGAAAAATTTATGTTATCAGGAGATTTGTAGCCTTACAGCAAGTAGTGATATTTTAAAAAAAGCCTCAATAATTTTATTTGGTTATGCTAATGAAAAATCGTGTTACGGTATTCTTAGAAACATAAGACGGAATTCAAAAAACATTAAGACTAAATTTTCTAAAATCTCAAAACTGGCCAAAGACCCAGAAGATAACACTGCAGATATTACATTACATGTTATTAATTATTTAAAAAAAAATGACTTCACAATAAATGATTTAAATCTACAATGGAGTAATATGTTTTATAAAATATGTGATGAATTTCAATTAAAGAAATCTTCAAAGAATTCCAAAAAAATGCGGATCTCTGTAAATAGAAAATGGAAAAAAATCGAACTCTCTATACAAACAAAAAACATTTTTGATATAAATGCAGACACTAATAATGTTAGATTATCTCCTACTCATGATAAATCGGAACAAAATATTAACAACCCACCTTTAATTCAACCTCGCTGTGAAAGTTTCAATAATAATCAGTGTAGCTCGGCATCGTTAAATAAATCTTTTGAAAGACAAAATCAAAAGGCCTCTAAAATTCGCGAAAAAAAAATTTTAACCGCAAATCATAAAATAATAAAAGAAGGTAATTTACAATCAATTAAATCGGATACTGCATTTCGAAAGATGAGATCGGAACATTTCGGAAAAAATGACCGTCACTCTGATGATTTTTACGATATGTGCCTGATGATGCGAAATAATAACAGTTATCTTAAGGGTGTAGGCGAGCCATTTCATGTCTATATTTTTAGCGAAGAGCAATTGAGTTTAATAATGAACAAACTAAAGCCAACAATACATTTAGATGCTACAGGTAATATCATACGAAAACCATCATATGTTAGAACAAGAATATTTTACTACGCTGCCGTTATCTCTACCTCATTTAATTCGCGAATATGCCTTATATTTGAGATGTATAATTGTAAACAAGACACAATTTCAATAGGTACTTGGATGGCTTATTTTAAACAGTATGCCATATCTAAAGGCAAAAAATGGCCATTATTTGATCGTGTTGTGACAGATTATAGTCTTGCGCTAATTCATGCTACAATGCTGTTTTGGAACCACATTACACTGAATTATTATTTGTTCCATGCATATAAGTATTCGTGTAATGACGATTCCGCTATATTCCAAAACAACGGAATAACCAAATTAAATATTTGCTGTTCGCATTTTTTTAAAATTGTGTGCAATGACATAAAAAAACTGAATAATAATAACACTGTAAAACTTTTTTTAAAAGAATGCATGGCAGCATCAATAAATTTTAGCAATATAGATATATTTTCAAAATGGTTCATATACATCGCAGTTATTCTTTGTTCTGAAAAAGTAAATGTACAAACTGAAAACGCAATAACAGGATTAACTAAAATATGCTTAAATAACAAATTTAGCGAAGATATTGAAAAAGATTTTGATTTTAGCAACTCTAGTAGATATCAATTAGAAGGCTCACTTATAACTGAAGGCTCCAACTATCAAAAAAGCCCGTTTTTTCAACATTTCAGCGTATTAATGAAAGAAATTCAGCACCAAATCGACAAAAATGTTAACAACAATATGCCAAATAATGATTATTTTAATGCTGACTTTATACAATTGATACTAAAAAAGTATATGGCAATTTTGCCTTTATGGAGTTGTATAATCATGGAGACTAATCAAAAACGAGTTAGCAACGCTCCGTTAGAAAATTGGTTTGCGTTTATAAAAGCTATTGTTTTAGAGGGATCTAGGCCGCAGAAATGTAGCCGCGTAGTAAGAAAAATTAGAAGACGTGTATTAATGATTGCAAAAGAAGAACAATTAAAAATTTCCAAAGAACGTTGCGCGACTGAAAAAGCCCTTATAAGCAAAGATCATGAACCCGATTACATTTCTGAAACAGAGGAATGGAATAAAAAACAAAAAGTAAATTACAGTTATTTCAAAGGAAGTTCCTTACCTAAAATTGATAATATATTATATTTTTTTCCTAATGGAATTGTACGTTCCAATAATTATTATAAGTCTATAGATAAAAATTATATAATTGGGAAGTTGGTTTGGTTTGGTTGTTTTTATTGGATTTGGTTGTAGTGGGTTTAGTTGGCTTGGTTTGATTTGGTTTTTTTTTATTGGATTTGGTTTGGTTTAGTTGTCGGTTTGGTTTGGTTTGGTTGTTTTTATTGGATTTGGTTGTAGTGGGTTTAGTTGGCTTGGTTTGATTTGGTTTTTTTTATTGGATTTGGTTTGGTTTAGTTGTCGTTTTTTTGCTTTATTGACAATTTTTTTTAAATTTTTGCATTTATTGACCATAGCGATATTAAGTTGATAAGAATAGATATTATTCATTGATCTGTGTCAAAGGTCGGGAAGAAGATCACTGCATAGTGGTGAAAAAAGGCATTTCCGCGGATTTTCATTTTTGTATCGGTGCTTAAAAATAAGTCTACATTATAAAATAATATTAATTTTTATATATATCTCATTTCGTTACTTCTAAACCCTATTCAAAAAATGGCAACATCGCATTTCCGCGGAAGTTCATTTTCGTATTCGTATTTACAAAGACGTCTAAAATATGGAATAACATTAATTTTTCATGTATGTCATTTCGTTACTTTTAAACCGCATTCAAAAAATGGTGACGTATTTCCGCTGCAAATTTTTTCCAGTAATATACTCCCTGAGGTACCTAAATGACAAAAAAATGTTTTTTTCTTTTTTAACAGATTTCGGCTAAACGAAACTTGACCCGGAAAAGAAGTGCATTTTGACGACTTACAATCTCTTCAATGTAAAAATTGAGTTAATGACACTTTGATAGATATAGGTTTATTATACGTAAATAAAAACAACACCGGTAACATATCTGCATTATCCTGTTCTACTGCACATGCAGCTTTTTATATGTTTGAAGACCTTCACAAAGATTTTTTCCTTGATTTCCCTAAAATAATACCTTCCACGATTTTATTCATACCACTAAATCCAAATCGAAACCATTGGTGCCTGGCGATAGCTAATTTCAAGGAAAAGACATTTGTTTATTTGGATCCATCGTTTAGTAGTCTAAATAAAACTGAGGATTATAAAAAGAGATTCTTAAGGTTTTTAGAAAAATATATAAAAGTTACTGAGGCGTCTCTTGATTTTAAAAATTGGAGTAGTGTTGTCTTAAAGCATATTACACAAAAAGACACTTTTAACTGTGGAGTATATATAATTTATTTTGCTGAAAAGATACTCGCAAAAGAATCAATTTCTGAAGAACTAGATATTAACC